TTGTTGCTGATGGAGCTCCTCACTACACTTCTACCTGACCCACCATCTTGGTTTTTTTCCTCCCCAGCTTCTTGTAAAGAGCCAGGTTAATTTCCTTATTCTCTCAGTAGCCCATTTTCCAAAGTGTTGTGTATAAATGGTGAGGAAGCAGAACGTTCAGGTATCTTTCCTGATTGATGCATCTAGGAAAGTTAGCTGAAGAAAGTGTGAGGGAGCACACATTAAGCAAGAATTCAGTTAAATTGGCATCCTTAGGTATCAATCTTCATGTTTCCAGTTTCCCAGAATAGATTTCTGAGCCTCCCTCAAATATATTGTCTACCCCCCAAAATAATATACTAAATTATACAGAGTACAGGAAATGTGTACCTAGCTGATTATTTACTAGATGCTTAAGTATGATTCTGCTCTGCTTAAATTGTATGATTATAATTATTCCGCATTTCAAAAGTATCTTGGCAGATAGATATTCAATGGGAAGGGTCCTATATTGAGATATTGCCACCAAAATACACTTTTCAATTCTCCTGACAGTGCTGTTCACAGTAAATAATAGTATGGCATTCTGTTTAATATTTTTAAATGTCCTAATATCAGAGTCCATATTTTGTTAGGTTTTATATTTTGTTAGTCCATATATTGTTAGGCTCTAACAATATTATTCAGTTCACTTGTTTCCTAGTAAGTAAGTACATGTAATACAAAGGAAACCTAGGCATCCAAATTTTTACAAAAAGGAAAGTACAGAAGTTGTCAGATTAGCTCCATTTCTAATCAGTTCATAATTTGGCTTTTTATTCATGTGGCAATCTCAATGAATGGTGCCCAGATTGGGCCATTTGGATAAAACCTCCATTGGGAAATTATTTTTTAAGCACATGAGTTCTAATATTTCCATAAAATAATGTATAGCTGACAGTTCTAATTGGTGAATTTGCACTGCAGTTGGGATTGATTGTAATTGTAACTATCTAAAGCTGAATATATATCCCTAACTTAATTCACTTGACATTCTTTCTACTCCACATATGTTAATTTTTTGGATAACATATTTCTCAGTACAATGATGGCTGCCTCATGTTATTTTAAGAAAGGTTAATTGATGTTGTCAGGAAAGGCTTTTATAAATCTAAATCTCTTGCCTGGAATTTAAGATTATTGCTAGTAAACATTTTTTCCTGAAATATTTTAATGTGTATTAACTCAACCCTATATAAGAGAATTATGAATGTAATTTGAATTAGCACTGAAGCAAATAATCATGAAATACAGAAAACACAAGCATTATCATGAGTCTACAATGATTAATTACATATCTAGTCTATTCAATGTTTTTAAGGTGATAAAGGTTGGGTTTGCTTATGAATCATCAAAGGAATTCCCTAGTGAAAATGGCAGAATGAGATGCAGAAGACCTAGCTTCTAGCTACTGACTCAGTATGACTTTCAGTAAAATGATTAAATTAGCATTTTCTTGTCAAAAGAAGAAACTGTATTGGTTGGTGTTTGAGAATTAATATGAGACATAGATTATTTTTTATTTGTAATCTAAACTCTGATAGCGTAGTGGTTACGAATTGGACCACGAACCACAAGGTCAGTAGTTCGAAACTACCAGCTGCTCTGTGGGAGACAGATGAGGCTTTCTGCTCCCATAAAGATTTACAGTCTCAGAAACCCTGCTCAGGGTCACTATGGGTCAGAACCGATTCAATGGCACTTAACAACAACAAAACATCAAAAGTGTTTTGGTATTAGTTGCTATTGGAACAATTCACTTAACCAGAAGTGTAAAGCTGTTCAAGTAATTTTAACAGCTGGGTTAACCTCCAATTTATTCCATAGACTCATCTCAATTCTGAATAATTGGGAGCACAGTTTTGAATTTGTACTCCTGATTCTAAGATGCATTGCTCATTGGTTACACAACTCAGGATCTCAAAGGATTGTGTTACTTTCCACATGAGAGAAAGTGTTATTTACATTCCCTTGAATGAGGAAAGTACCATGTAGGAGATGTTAGAAGTAATTAATGGTGAACTTAAAGAGTCCGTGTTTTTAGCCAAGGTACAGCATCCTCTGGTTGGCATTTAAATTTTTTTAATATTGAATCAAACTAGTCAGTGAATCACATTACCTTTGAAGAATGTATTGAAAACAGACTACTGATTTTCAATCTATATTCATTCTTCCAATCTATGTTCAGTGCTACATGAAAAGCATGTAGGGAACATATATAGTCTGCTGCTCTGGTAGCGTAGTGGTTACGAATCGGGCTGCGAACCTTAAGGTCAGCGGTTCGAAACTACCAGCTGCTCCGCGGGAGAAAGATGAGGCTTTCTACTCCCGTAAAGATTTACACCCTCGGAAACCCTGTACAGGGTCGCTATGGGTCGGAACCGACTCGACGGCACTTCACAACAACAACAACAAGTACTGAGCAGTTTGTTTATTACCCGTAGGGCCTATAGTGCATGATTCCTGCCCTCAAAGAGGTTACAAGCATTTCAGGGAGACTAGAATTAATACACCTGCAACATGAATATAAACCCATATTTCAGCAAAAGTAAAATTTATATGTGATAAATCACAATAGATATTATGAACAACGTAGGATGCATGTTGTTGGTTGAGTATGGGGAAGGAAAATAAGAAATCTAGAACTACTGAAGAAGCTTAATAAGAGTCAAAAAAGAAATGGTTAAGATGACCCAGGTCTTAATATTATTTAAATTGTTAGCAATCCAGAGACTTGGCAGTAGGGGAGTAATAGTGGGTGTTACAGGTATCCTCTGGGATATTCTGAACATTTTGAACTGAAGTCCCTGGAATATGTTGTCTAGTGACTTTGCCTAACAATCACTTCTGAAATCTAGAATTTATTCTGTTATGATCTAAGCTCTGAAACAGAAGTTTTCTAGCACCAGCCTAATTATGTGGAACAACTTCAATATTGTTGTTGTTGTTAAATACCGTGGAGTTGGTTCCGACTCATAGTGACCCTAAACAGGGTTTCTGAGGCTGTAAATCTTTACGGGAGAAGAAACCTCATCTTTCTCCCACCAAACAGCTGGTAGTTTCGAACTGCCGACCTTGAGGTTAGCAACCCGATTCATAACCATTACGCTACCAGAACTTCAATATAGATCCTTATTTTTTCTCTTGGACACCACCACCCCCCCCTCATTCCCTAATCTGTGTATGCACTGTGAATCAGTACTCAAAAAAGAATGTTGTGAGTTGTCTATAGCTGTATCTGAGTGATTACATTTCAATTTTTCTGATTATCTGTTGTTACAACATCCTGCAAATGACAAGATCAGTATTTTCAGGTTCCTTCTATATAAGACCATCATGTGAATCAGATGGATTCGAATAATAGATGAATTTCTTTATTTCTTAGTCAATTACATGCATATTAATATTGCTATGCTTGTCTAAGAAAGAGTATAACCCAAAGACAAAGAATAGGAAATTAGAAAACATCTAAAAATTTAGAACATTTTCAATAAATCTTTTCACTTTGATATTTCATCTTAGAATAAAATATATTCCATTCTTAATAATAATATGATTTTGTCTAATATTCTGATATATGCAATGAATAGAAAAAGAATCAACATTCCTTAAGCACGTCATATGGCTTTTGATTTAACTATTTTGGAAATAATAATACTAAAACTAGTTCAAAGAAGGGAGAAGTATCTGATATTTATGCTTTTATAATTTGCATTGTTAATTCATATAAGGCAAAAACAATTTAAATCTCATACATTTCATATGAGTATTTTTACTTCATTAGCACCACTGTGCAAAGTAAATATTTTATATAGATTATTTCCATAAAATTAAGGCACCATTTTCCTAAAGAAAATCATTTAATCCTAGGCTAACTGTGAGTAGAACATCTTCACTACTGACTACAGTATCCATTTTGTAAACGTTCAACATAATTTAATGTGCATTTTAACCATGTGCTTACCTCATCCCCTTTATAAAGTAGCTATTTCAGCTCAGCCACTACCTAATGTTATGCATTAATGGTAATAACATTGTAACAGATCCAAGAATGCTGTGGCCCAAACTACTCTGATTTGTGTGGCACTCACACCTGGCCCTGCATCATTGCTGCAGCATTTTAAGACCAGGTTAAAGATGGGATCCCATTATTTATTCAGATCCCAAGAATGATCTGACCTGGCTGGAGTTGGTTGCCGTTTCAAGATTTGAAGAAATTTCTTTCTATTCACTTTTTCTTTTGATAACATTTGATTTAAGCTAAAGGAAACAAAATAACAGCCAGAGATTTATTTCTGTCTGCACTAATAGGACAGGTAAGAGTGCCAAAGTACCAAGTAGTTTCCAAATGCACAATGGAAAAAGGAGTGCATTGGCCAAAGAGAATGCAAACTTTCAGCTCTTGCTATAAAGCTAATAATGCTCTTTCTGAAATTAGAAATCTATGGAAGATGTTTAATAACAACTGGTAGTATATGTTTTCATGTCAAAGAAAAGTGGATAAATTTAGATTGTTGCTGTTTATGTGCATTGATCAAACCTTTTCGCTATTTGACATGAAAATACACATGTGCAGCTTTCCTTGGTTGGGTCACAATTTTAGAATAAAATATTTATATACCATTTGCAAACTAACATACAAAATTGAAAGTACAAAGGATCATATGATTCTGACAAATGATGCAAGGTTTCTCTGTAGGATTTTATTTTGAAATTTCCATTCATGGGCTTAAAAATCATTCATGACATTTTAAGGGGAAAAAAATATATATGTATATATATATATACACTATGGTGCTGCATCTAATCTTGTGACCCGCACCCTCTACCAATGTGGATTGGCATACATTTAAGTTATTCTTAAATTACAGATCAAGGAAATGCATACAGAAGACTTGGGAGCACGCCTGATTAATTTTTATATGATAGATTAAAGAAAAATATTTTAAACTATTTCTGGGGGTTGGTTTTCTACTTTTCAGAAGATAAATGCAACTACTAGTTCATCTGAAGGCAGCACAGTTGATATAGGAGCACCTGCTGAGGGAGTAGAACCTGAGGTGGAACCTGAAGAATCTCTTGAACCCGAGGCCTGCTTTACAGAGGGTAAGTGAAGCAATGCGTGTGCTCCTATAGTCATTGGTCTTCCTTCTATAGTCATCTGGTCGTCATCTCATTATCTCATCTATATCACACAAACACATATGCGTGGGTTAATGCAACGGACAGCAAAGTCGATTTGAACCGCGAGGCTGGAGGCCCAAGCTCACGTGCCGCTCCACGGAAACCCTATACAAGGTCGCCAGCCGCTCCGCGGGAGAAAGATGAGGCTTTCTACTCCCGTAAAGATTTACACCCTCGGAAACCCTGTACAGGGTCGCTATGGGTCGGACCCGA